ATAAGTTTAATGGACGAATATGTTATTGAATTAATCAGAACAGTAATGTACTATTGTACAAGAGAAAGTGAAATAGGAAATAACATAATAGATAGATGGTATTCCAAGAAAGGAATATGGAATAGAATTAAAAAAGCCCTAGGTCATAAAATCCCAGAAACGAAAATAGAAGAAATAATAAATGAAGTGAAAATAAAAAAGAAAAAGAGGTAGTAGAAAAAATAAAGAAAATAATGACCGACCAATACATCAAAAAATGGAAATCAAACAAGTGGATATTTTAGAAGATGGTTCGACTCAAAACCTGTAGATAAAACTACTACAATAAATGCATGGAAGTCCATCAATATAAAGAAAAATGCATTTCTCCAATTAACTAAAATGCAAGATGGAGCAATATTCAATATGTACAGAAAAGATAAAATATTAAAAAATGAATAAAATACTATCCACTTTGTAAATACAAGATATCCACAGTAGAACACATTCTACTATCTTGTATTTGTCATAAGAAATCACAAATTGAGAAACATGACCATATTGGCATTATCATATGGGAGGGGTTAATAAGAAAATACACAGGAAATAAACAATACAAGAAACCCCCATATGAAACAGTGTTCCAGTACAATGACATCACTATGATATTGAACAAACAAATAATGCCAAAAAGTGATGGACTATATCATAAAAGACCAGATATATGTACTAGATAAAAAGAATAAAACTGGTCTAATAATTGATATGACTATTGTGGCAGATCATAATATTAATGGAGGGTATTGGAAGAAAAGAAATATGTACAAGGAATTGAAAAATAGGCTAATGAAAATAGAGAAATTAAAGGATGTCAAAATAATTCCAGTAGTAATTTCGATTAATGGGCTAGTAAATTTTGAAAGTATTAAAATAATTAAACAATTAAAAACCGAAATTGACATCACTAAAGAAATCAAAAACGTTGTAATTAAAAACATGATGGACGTCATGGAACACTGTTTCTACCACAACCAAACATATGTTGTTGAATTATATGACGAAGACTCATTGACGGGATTAGTCTCCCTTGAGCTAGAAATAATAGACATAAGTTCTATTAATACTTAATTAACTACTTTTATTTTTGTTAACCATTATGAAACTTTGATACTGTAAAGAATAACATGAAACACCAAAAAATTTAATATTGTGGGTTGTGTAAAACAATAAACTCTTACAAAAATCATTAAATAAAAAGGTTTTTTGTGAATTACCTTACAAAGTATTATCAATGTAATTCAGTATCACAATAACACCAAATAGCACTTTGTTAATTGTTGGTATTTTTCAAATACTCTTGTCTCATATTTGTGTTGGTGAATATTGGTATGTTAATAAATTATTTCTCATAACATAATTATGTGATTTATTTTTGTTGTTATTCTAATTAGGAAAAAATCAAGAATTAAATGGTTATTTTTTTTGTCAATACTTATGTTCAAATTATATTTAGTTAATTGTTATATAATGGATATATGATAAAAATATCAAACAAATAAAAACAGTACAAGAAAGAGAAAACACTCAGTTGTCATTATATTAAAAAAATGAGTAAGTTGATACATTGAAGATACTGATTTTTAATACAATAAAAGAATAAACTTAAAATAAAAGAATAATAAGATTATTAAAAGAAAATAAATTGATAAAAAATTAAATTATAAAACTAATGAAAACATTTGAGTTCGAACTTATGAATTTATTTTCAATGGAATCAGAAAGATTAACTGAAAAGAAATTAGAATTTGGAGCAGGGCAATATGAATACACTATTCAATTTAATATTTCAAAGAAAAGTGGGTCTTTGTTAGATGATTTATTTGTTGTTATGTCATACAAAAATACAAAAAGTGGATTTATGAATGAGTATCAAGGTTCAATGAAAGTATTTTCTGCGTTAGAAGGATTAAACAAATTAACTCAAATTGTTGAATGTAAAGAAACTGAAGAAAGTGGATATCTTGTCTCCTTTGAATACGGTGGAGGAATTATGCAAATCCTTCTTAAAAAAACAAAGGGTGTTGAAATTGAAAAAAGGAAGAAACAACAAATAAAAGATACACCATTTGTAGAAAATTCACAAGAACTAACAACAACTAAAGAAGAGCTGAAAAAAAATTTATTAGAAACAAAAATAGAAGTTATGATAAATAATTTTAACATAATGCAAGAACAATGGGCACAAAAAATTACTGAAAGTGATAAAAAAGAAAAAGAATTACAAAAGGAAATTAATGAAATTAAAGAGTTAAAAGAATTAAATGAAAGATTATTAAAAGAAAAAGGGGAGTGGTATGAAGAACAGCAAAAACTTATCATTTGGAAAGAACAAAAAGAAGAAGAAATTAAAAAACTAAAAGAAGAAATTGGTATTTTAAAAAGTTTAAAATCATCAGACAATAACAACGAAGAAAATGAAATAATAATTTCAAAAGAAGAATACGAAGAGCTTAAAAAACGAATAGAAGAATTAGAAATAAAATGTAATTTCAAAGAAGAATTAGAAAATTTAAAGAAAAGAGTTGAAGAAGTAGAAAAGACAATCAATAAAATAGATATTAATATATTAAACGATAATATTAATGAAATCAATAAGCAAAATGAAGAATTAAATGAAAAAGTAAATGAATTAAAAGAAGAAAAAATGAAAAATGAAAATAGTATTGAAAAGAGTAAACAACAAGAAGAATTAAAAGTGCTTAATGAATTAATTAGAGAATTACAAGAAACTATAAGTAGTGTTGAGGAGAACCAAATCAAAAATGAAACAGAAATTAAAGAAATTAAAGAAGAAAAGAATCAAATAATACAATTAATTGAAAAAAAAGAAAAGAAAAATAAAATTCCAAGAGTCATGACATGTACTGAAGAAGTTATTGAAATTTGTCAAATAGTAAAAGAAAATAAAAAAGAAAAAAAGTGTCTTGTTATTTGTCAACAACAAACAAATGAAATTATTATAAGTGTTATTATTGGAGAAGAACTATTTGAAGGAATTTATCATTGCACTATTCATAATATACCATTTAATATTTTAGGCCAAATAATTGAATTAGCAGAAATTACAAAAGAAAAAGACAAAGTTTATGTTGAATATAATCAAAATAAAATTGAATTAGGTTTAGAAAATCAAATAGAAGTATGGCCAAGAATTGTTAAAATATATCATTATATTGGAAATGAATCTGATATTCTTTTAGATGGTACATTTGAATATACTGAAGAAATAAAAGATAATAATTATCGATTAAAATTAGTTGGAGATAAAGAAAAAGAAGAAGAACTGCAACAACAAATAAAAGAAGAACCACAACAAGAAAAAGAAGAAGAGATATCTCAATCACCATCTTCTTCTTCAGATAAAACAGATAAGGACAGCGCTGAACTTATTAAAGAAATTCAAGATAAAGTAAAAGAGACATCAATTAGTCAACCTAAAAAAATAAAGAAATCCAAAACTGTTTTTGTATATTCATCATTACCAACACAGTTCCAAGGAAGAAGAATACAACAACTAGGAAAGAAAGTACCACACTATAAATTTACAGATTTTTGGAATGGATATGGAAGTTGCATTACTCCAGATAAAATTGTGTTGTATTATATTTATGAAAAAGAAGAGTGTGACTATCAAAGTGATTTAGAGGCATTAAAAATTGTCTATCCAAGCATTCCAATAATTACTGTTATTTTAAATTATCCGGAATATTGTCTTGCACCACCTAAAACTAATGAAGAAGATGTGTTTGTTATTGACGTTATTTCTAATATTTTAGAAGACGGAGGGATGTTACTTCAATTTATAAATGAACTCACTAAAGATGAGTAAAGGAAAGAAAATAATAATAATACTTAATCAAAGAATTTTGTTCACTTAATTGTTAACTTGTTTACTAACAAATAATAAAAATAAAATTTAAAAAGTTATAAAGGAATAATAATGAGTTAAAACAATTTATAAATTAAATAAACTTTTCTTTCAAAGAAAGTATTTGAGATCTAAGTCTTTCATTTTGTTTTTGAATGATTTGGATTTGTTTCATAATTTCAGAATTTTCTTTTACTAATGCTTTTTCTCTTTCAGTCATCCAACCAGTAAATTCATCAGTAATATAACAAACACTACAACTTGCATTTGTATTTGTTTTTCCTTTAACAACTTGAAATACTTCATCAAAATCATTTGGATAAAATTTACTTATTAATTTCATTTCTTGACGAATAATACTAACCAAACTAACCAAACTTTTTTCTTGATTTAAAGCACTAATACCTCTTATTGATGTACTAAAAGAAGTAGGACCAGTTATAACACTAATTAATGTTCTTTCTATAAAATGAATAAATTCTGAACAAAATTGTTTTTCTTTAGGTATTGGAGAATAAAGAATTAAATGATCTCGTTTTGTTGTTTCAGTAACTACTTTTTGAATTTCAACTAATAACGATGGGTAAGTAGCAAATGGAATAAATAAATATCGAAGATATAATAATGTAGAAATTGTTCTAATTGCCTGTTGTTCTCCTCTGTTTGATTTTACTTTAAAAAAGATGTTTTTTATTATTTCACGAAGATGAGCAGGAAAGAGTCTTTTTGATTGTTCTAACAATTTAACATAATGTCTCATTCCTTCTCTAAAGCATGAACGATATCCCTCACTTTCTTTTGGTAAAGAAAATCCATCAAGATAATGTTTATTAGTTTTTAATAATTCTATAAATTGTAATGTTGAAGAAGCAAGAAATTCAGAACAATAACGACGTAAATACTCAGCATAAATTTTAGTAAACAATGTGTTTCCTCGAAATATTTGATTATTTATATTACAGCCATCAATTTCGTCATACGCTAAATTAGTAAGAAGATCAATAAGTTTTCCTCGAGATGAATAAAATTCTAATAAAACTTTAATATGATAAGGGTTTCCATCATTTTTTATTAACTAAAAAGGTATTAGTTTAAAAAGAAATAAAAATATAATTTGATTCAAATCATAAATCCTTTATTTTGGTTTAATTGAATGTTTTGAGAAATATTAAAAAAAAAAACAAACAGCAGTACAATAAGAATTTAATAACAGAGATGGAAAGTTAAATAAAAATTTACGCATCTCTTCTTCTTGTGATTTTTTTGAGTTTCCTCTATATGGAGTTGTAAATACAGTATATGAATCGTCTGGTAATACTGAAAAATTGAGTATGTCTGTACTTGAATAACGAAATGTCCCTTGAGAAGGAGTGGTTGAATAAGGATCAGGAGTTTTACAACTATCAGAAAAGAGTTGTTCGTTTAAAGAATAAATGGAATTCTTTCTTTTATCTCTTTTAGAGACTTGAGGTAAGAAAACGTCGGACATCTGATAATTTTGAGATGGCTTATTGAAATTACAATCAGGGCACTTCTTCAAAATATGAAAGAAAAAAAACAACCTAAACAGACAAAAATGATTCAAATCTTATTTTAAAAAAATTATCAATAATACCTTAACAATTTATTTCATTTAGAGACTCATTTTTTAAAAATAATTTAATGAATTTTGTATATAACCTATTATTTTTAAATAATTAAAATAATTAATTGATATCTCTTAAAAACGAAGGTTGAACCTTCATTATCATCACTGCTCCTACACAAAGGAATGACTGCGCAAAATAATACGTTATCATACACCCAAACCTTTTTAATGACGATGGTCTATTAAAAACCATTTGAAATAAAATTAAATCACTAAGAACAAAATAGAAGTACCCAATTGAACAAAGGAAACGGGATAATAAGTTGTATTGATTTGAATTAAATGCGAAATGTAAAGATGAATAAAATGCAATAACAATAATCGTAGCATAAAACAAACACCCTGCTTTTAAAGGAAGTTGTATTTTGAAAGAAAGGGTTGATAACAAGAAAAAAACAAAAACAACACATGTCAACAAAAATGGAATAATGAAAGAGCCAATATCAATACCCTATAACAATGATTTCAACGAATCACACAAAAAAATATTGAACTTTTTAACAAACTGGAGAATAACTAAAAAACCCTAATGTGTTAAAGCAATGAGCAATAATAAAAGAAAATGTCCCAATAAGAAAACAAAATTGAGAAGAAGAATATTCTAACATAAAATCACCCAAACAACTCCACACTAACCCAATCATCATATAAACTTCAAATGATGTGGAATATTGAATACTAATGAAAAGAATATCAAAAATAATTGGAAGTGATTTTATTGAAGACCGTAATATTGGATATTCTTTAATTGATTTATTAAATAAAAATATTAATGCAAAGACCCATCCAATCAATATAAGAAGAAGTTGCATTAGAACTAAAAATTACCAATTAACGTTAAATTAAAGTTTTGTTTTTTCATTTATTTGAAGAGAAATTAATATGGTAACTAATCTATAAATATATTATATAAAACCCATAATTTATTTTATTTATTTTTATTTTTTAATATTTATAAAATAAAATATAAGTTATAGAAATAATATGATGATGAAAAGAGTCTCTGAACAACTATGAAGACAAAATCTTTCGCTCCTATCTGATTGTTTCTTTTTCATTTTTATAAAATAAATTTTATTTTTATTATTTTAATATTTTCCTAAATAAAAGTTATTAAAAACAATTTTTTTATTAAAAAGAGAAAAAATCTTTTTTTTGATATTGTTTAGATTATTCTCTTTTTGTACTTAAATCTCCAAATCTTTTTTTCCGTGAACTAAAAAATAATTTTAAAAAAAGATTAATTTTTTAATAAAAGATAAGTAAAATAATGATTTAATTTTTGAGAAGTTCTTGAGACCAAATATAGAGAAAAAAGGAAAGCAGTTCACAAGACGTCGATCTTATAAACGAGTCTCACAATCTTAAAATTAACAGATTAATGGAAAAGAAACGTAATTCAGCTGTTGATGGTCCTTTATCATCTTCAATGATTTTAGCTGCTGATAAGACACAATATGAAATGGCAACTGAAGACTATGAAAATACTATATTAGTATTATTAAAGAGTAGATTATTATTAAAGAAAATTATTGAACAAAAAATGTATCAAGACCGTATTAAGAGAGGTAACTTAACTGCTAAAGAAATTTCTGACCTTTTGAAAAATCAAGGTGAAGAAGAAGATGAAGATTTCATCTTAAAAATTACTGATCTTAGAAGAACATTATTGAATGAAATTAGAAAGAATGCAGGACTTGAAAAAGATATTCAAGACATGGAAATGAGAATTACTTTATTAGTTCAAAATGCTGGTGCTGTATTAACTAAAGAAAAGAAAAAGAAGAAGAAGGTTGCTGAAAATGCCCAAGTCAAAGAAACTATTTCAAATGATAAACTTCAGTTATATGGTAATTTGTTTTATTTACTTCAATCTGATCCAGTCTATGTAGCTCGTTTAATCAACTGTATTTCACAAACTGAATCTGATGTTAGAGAAATTGTAGACTCAATTATTTTGACATTGTATGGTAATGCTATGTCAGATAGAGAAGATTATTTGATTTTAAGTGCTATTAAATTGGCTTTAGAACAACAAATGTCTACATTGACATCTCTTTGGACAGCCATTCAAGACCAATCAGTTATTCCTCAAATGATTATTGCCTATACTAAAAGAACACAAGGAAAAACATTTTTAAATGAAGTATTTGGTCCATGTATGCAAAGATTTAATAGAGAATTTCCAAGTCATAGAAAATTAAATCTTGATGGAAAGAAAATTTTAGATGAATTAATCAATGAAACAGAACAAGCTACTGGAGTTAAATCTAATTTAAGAAATGTTCCAGTTGATAAAATTCAAGATGAACCAGAAATTAAGAAAATTATTTCTGAAAGAGTTACATCATTAAAAGAAGGTTGTAACATCTTCTATGATACTATTATTTCTGCAATTAATAAATACCCATATGGTTTAAGATATTTGTGTAAAGTTATTAATGAGAATTCAATGGAAGCATTCCCTAATACTACAGAAGCAGAATTATTATCATATACAGGTTATTTCATGTTCTATAGATTTGTTGGTAATTATATTGCATCATCATCAAATGAAACTCAACAAGGATTTGATGCCATTCAAAATATTTTGTTAATTAATAAGATTCTTCAACAATTATTCCAACAACAAAGTCCATTCCCAGTTAATGACACTAATAAATGGATGGTTCCAATGAATGATTGGATTTCTGAACGTTGTGAAGCTGTTAAAGTCTTCTTAAAAGAATTTACTGATGTAGAACCACCAGAACAAAAAATGCAAATTGATAAATATATGGCTTTAATTCAAGACGTTAAACCTACTATTCTCATTGAACCAACAGAAATTTCTATGTTCCATACAGAAATTAGAGATCATTTAGATGATCTTGCACCAAATAAAGAAGATCCTTTACATAGAATTATTGATGAATTAGGTGATGTCGAACAATATAACTCTAACGAAACTGTTACACTTACACTTACTCCAAAATATATTTCACAATCACTTGAAGATGAAGACCAAACTCTTTATAATAGAACTAAGAGTTTAATGCTTGGATTCTTTAAAGTTATTGCTAATTCTGATGCACAACCAGTCACTCTTGAAGATGTATTATCTGAAACAGAAAAAATTGCTAAACAAAAGAATAATGAAACAGCATTAAAAAATATCGAAGAAGTGAAAAAGAATATAAAAACTCTTGAAGAGAAAAATTTAGTTTCTAAAGAAGATGGATACAAAACATTACTTAAAGATGTTGCATTAGAAATTGCTAATAGAGCTGAAATTAAAGAACAACAACAAAAAGAATTAACTCGTCTTGAAGTTAGCATTAAAGCTACCTTAAAGAAACAAAAAGAACTTCAAGATGTTTTAGCATCATACAAAGATTATTGTCAAACTTGTGTCCAAAGAGTCTTCCAAGGAAAGGGAAAGAAAGGAAAGAAAACAACAGAAGGTAAATTATTTAAACCTAAAGAATATTCATACAATGATTTGGTTAAAAAGGGTGTTATTGTTTCATCTGTTATTCCTAAAGGAATGAGAAAAATGACAAAAATTATTATCTCTTCTGAAGAAGTTGGTGTATTTAATGTCCAAGTTAAATTACCAGCTATTGCTTCAGAAAATGTTGATATTAAATTAGAAGAATTACTTGAAATGAGGGCTAAAGGAACAAGGACGTTAGACATTAATTCACAAATGGAATTAGATGTTAATATGACTATTTATGTCATGAACCAATTAATTGCAAAATGAATTTAATTTCGTTTTTTTTACTTTTTTGTATTATTATTTATTTATTTCATTTAATTTTCAAGTGAATTATTATTAAAAACATTTTAAAATACTTTTATTACTTTTAACTAAGTACTAAGAAGTTTACTGTACTTTTTAAATTAAAATGATTAACAGAAACTTGAAACTTAAAGAACACTTTAAAAAATAGAGTTTTCTCAAGACCACAATAAATAAAATTTATTTAATTCATGAACAAAATAAAATAATAATTTGTTAAAATTGGTTGATGTATTTAATTACAGTTTCTTTGAAAACAAAAAATAAATCAGCCAAAGGAATGAAATAAAAAATAAAGATTATAAATAACTAAATGTAATAAAAGTAGGATTTAATAAGATCTTTATAAAATAAAAATAAAGAAAAAAATATATTTTTAATAATTTAATTTTTATAAATATTTTTTCTAAAGATATTAAATAAGTTATTATTAAAACTATTTAATTAATAAGAAAAAGAAATTAAATTATCTTTGTTTATTCAACTTTAACATAAGTACCATTAGCAATTTCCTTTTCTCTTCTAGCTTGGACATTTGGTTCACCAACCATTGATTGTTCAGTTGGAGTATAAACAGGTTCTTTATCAAGATCTCCAACTTTAATTTCTTTAGCATAGTCATGAAGTTTCTCCCAAACTTCTTGAGTGTTTTTCATATATTTAGAATATGTCTTCATGAAACCAGAACAAATTTGACCAAAGTTTGAAGTAATTTCTTCAAGAACTTTCTTAATATCAACACTAAGTTCATCTCTTAAGTACTCCCAAGAATCTCTGGAGTTAGTATAATTAACTTTAAGATCACTTAATCCGACTTGTTTATTTTCTGGCTTCTTAAGCATATCATGATAAGCGTGTTCAGCCTTTTCCATTGCTTTACCTCTTTCATCTAAAATCTTAACTCTCTTTTCTAAGACTGTAACTGTTTCTAAATACATTTTCAATGGTTTCATAACCTTCTTTTGTAATTTTTCTTCATATTTCTTTGCTTTTTCATCATTTTCTTCAATAATTTTAATAGACTCGTTAAATGGATTTGGATCACATGTAATTACATCAGCACAAAGCTTAAGTGCCTTCTTATGTTCATCATATTGTTCTTTAGCATCTTTACCTAATTTCTCAAACTTTTCTTGAGCTTTTTTAATCTTAGTACATAAAGCAAGAAGATCTTTTTTATCTTTTTCAATTTGTTCACATATTACATCTTTAGGCTTTCCTTTAAGATCATTTGAGACGTTTTTAATTCCGTCATTAAGTTTTGAAGTCATCTTCTTAAACATGATTGTCTTTTCTCTTTAGATAAAAGTTCCTCGAAAACGATCCTTTAAATAGTTTAATACTTTTTTCTACAATCTTCTCTTTAGGAGACGTGTCGATGATTAGTGTTGTATTGTTCTCAAGTTCTACTGTTAGTTCTTTCGTTTTTAGTTTCTACTATATATAGTTACATTCTTAATAAAAAAAAACTAAAAATATTATTTTTAAAAATAGGATTATAAAATCATTTTTTCAATTCAATTTATTCAAAAAAAAAAGGAAAAAAATAAAAAAAAAAGGAAAAAAGAAAATGTCAAAGAAATTGTACAACCAATTTCTTGAAGATTATATTTCTACAGTCCTTTATCAAAGTCACATTTATCCAGATTGTATGTTATTACTATTATCTGTTTATATTTTCTAGTAAATGACAAATAATAAAATAGATTGTTTTAAAAGAGTTCAACTACAAGAAACAGTTGCAGTTTATCGTCCAATTTCTCTTTTATTAAAACGATATATAGAACAAGTGGTTTCTTTGTTACCACAGTTTCAAGCATTAAAAATTCAAATTCAAAAATTACCTACATTGACTCCAATTTATGAATGGTTTTTACTTAATACTTTTTCAATAGAACATTCAAACTCTGTTTTTGAATCAATTCTTCATCAACGAGTTCTTTGTGATTATGGAACTGTAACTTTTCAAATCTCAGCATTAACCCACCAATCAAACTCAAAATGGAAACCACAGGAAGTAGAATTTTTTGGTGATACTCAAACATTACAACCAATTAATGAATTAGGATGTTGTGTTTTGTTTAGACATTTCTGAGAAATGAAAAAATGTAATAAAAGGAAAAAAAGTATTAAATTAAAACTTTTTAACTTAAAGAATATTAAAATTTTTTTTTGATTACAATAATTATATTTTATTTTTGAGGAAAGAATTTACTCAAATGGTATTTTTAGTTATAATATAATATTTAGATAGAACTAAAAATAAAGAACAACAATTAAAAAAAAAAAAGGATAATATGAATAAAGAGCTTTACTCTTAATGTTGAAATTAATTATAAAAGTTTCAATTGCTTTTCATAATTTTTTTTGTAAAAGAAAAATAAAAAACTTAATTTAAAAACTTAAAAACTATCAAGTTTGATGGAAAAGTATATCGATTGGGTCAATGAACATATCACTAATCCTTCGTTGTACATTTCTTCAATACAGGACATAAGAGAAGGACATGCACTATTAGCTATTATGCAACAAATTACCCATAGTATTGTTAAAACAGATACACCACTTCAAACTGCATTACAACTAGCAGAAAAACACTTTGGAAAATTAGAGGGGTTAAGTATTCAAAAGATAGAAAAAGGTGATGAAAAACAAATTATAGCCTTACTTGGGTTTTTAATGAAAAAAGAAAAGAGTACAATAAGAAAACTTTCTGACACAATGTATAAAAGTGAAATAATGAATCAGTCATTTAGAAGAAGGGCTTTTACAGTTAAAAAAGATGGAAAAACAGTAGGAGTTGTAAGAAATGAACCTATTATTAATACATTAGTAGAAAATAAAGAAACGGTCCAACCTAAAATTACAGCTAGACCTATTAGACATAATGTTAAACCTCTTAATTTAAAACCAATTGTTCAAGAAGAAACAAATAAGGAAAAACAAAAAGAAACAGAAATAAATGTTTCACAAGAACTCATAGTTTCAGAACCCTCTCAAATAAAAAAAACGGAAATACCACCAACACCAACAAAAGAGGCAACACCAGAATTAATTACTTCTGAAAGAAAAGAACGTAGAGAAAAGAAAAGACAACAAATTGAAAAAGAAAAAGAAAAATTAAGAAAGATGGAAGAAAGTAGAAAAGAAAGAACAATGAAAAAAGAAGAATTAAAAAGAATGAAAGAACAAATGATTATCGAACATTCAAATTCACCTCAAAAAGAAGTTGATAATTCACTTTTAACTAGTCCTGAACCAGAAATTGAAAAAGAAGAAACTATTGAAGAAGTATTTAGAGGAGTATTTATGTTAGAAGGAAAATATTATATTGTTGATGAAGAAGGGGATGGTGGAGAATTAGTTGAATATGTTTGTGAACATTATAATGAAATGGTTACATCATGTGCACGTAGTTTAATAGTTTCATATCAGTATAATGAAGAATTAGAACGTCAACAAGAAAAAATGAAAACATTAGATTCACGTGCAACAAAAGAATGTCTTAATTCTATTATTGCAATACAAACAAAGATTAGATGTAGAAATGCTAGACATTTACCAGAAATTCGAGGAATGAAAGAACGAAAGAATTTAGTAAAAGAATTAATTGAAAGTGAACATAAATATGTAGATAATTTAAAAATATTAAAAGAGTATTATCTTGAAAAAATACTTGAAGAAAGAGAAGATAAAACTATTAGAAATTGTTTTAAAAATTTAGAAATGATTGTTAAATATAATGTAATTCTATTAAAAGATCTTGATGATATGTCAAAGAAATGTGTTTATGGAGAAGGTGTATCTACAGTATTTAAAAAGTTTACTGGATTTTTAAAATGTTATACTGTTTATGTTAATTCATATGACACAACTAATGATTACTTTGTTAATTTAAATTCAAAGAATAAAAGATTTATGGATTTATTAAAAAAGTTAAGTCTTCAAAAAGAAGTAAAGAATTTAAATATCTTTTCATATTTAATTCTTCCAATTCAACGAGTTCCACGATATGAATTATTTATAAGAGGAGTATTAAAAGTTCTTCCTAGAACCCACAAAGAATATAAAGGGCTTCAAGACTTAATGAATGAAATTAAAAAGATTGGGGATTATTTAAATGAAAGAAGAAGAGAATCAGAAAATAAACAATTACTAATGAAATTTAAACATCATTTAGAAATAAAAAAATTTGATTTGATGGATGATGATAAAAGAAGACTTGTTAAATATGGAGCTATTCAAAGTAAGGAATATGGGTTATTAGTTATTTTCTTATTGAGTGATGTATTACTTGTTCATAGAGCAAAACAAGAAGTAAAAGATGTTGACGTTTTATTAGAAAAAAATAAACTTAAAATTAAAGATATTATTCCATTATTTGGAATAGGTATTTACAGTGAAGGAGACAATGCATTTAGTGTTGTTTCTAAAAAAATGATATTTACTTTCATTGCAGAAAATGAAGAAGAAAAAGAAGATTGGATGATGGCATTTGATGATATTTTATCAAGAGAACATAATAGTGCTATGTCAAGATTAAACACTATTAGACAATCTGAAAATGTTAAGTCAAATAAAGTTGATGATATCTTTTATCAAGGTTATCTTAAAATGTCATTAAAAATGTTTGAAAAATATGTAGGTGGTATTGTAACATTTAATACAAATGTAGATTTAACGAAGAAAAAATTAGATGGAAGTCCTAATCTTGATAAAAAAAATAGTCCAATGCAAACACCTAGAAAGGTAGCAGCTACACAAATGTTATTAAGTCCACGATTAAATTCATCATTTAGATCACCAAGATCAGTTAGAGTAAATAATGATCATGAAGAAGAAAAAGATAGGTATTGTGTTATTGATGGAGAAGAACTTATTGTTTATAACTCAGTAAAAGATTCTTTAAAGAAAGAGAATTGGCATATGAAAGTAATATTAAGTGGTGTATCTGTTGAAGCTGTTGTTGCAATTAATAATCCAGCTGCATTTCAAATTAATATTAGTGGTAAAACTACTTTTGTAACTGCACCATCAAGTGAAGACAAATGGAAATGGCTTACAGTTTTCCGTGATGCATTTTATCATTCTGCAAAAGATAAGTTGATTGAACTTAAAATTCTTCAACCAAAACAAGATATTGTTTTTTGTTATCCTCCACCGCCAATTTTTATTGCAGAGAGAGGGCAATTTAGTAATTATTTAGATATGTTATTAAGTATTCCTACTAATTCTGTTTGTGCCGATTGTGGAGATCGTAAAATTGTTTGTGCTGATATAACGTATGGAGTATTTTTATGTAGAGACTGTTCTAATTGTCATAAAAATCAATTAAAATCAACCATTGTCTTCATTAAAAACTTGTATGTCAAAAGTTCTTTCTATGAACTTAGAATATTTAAAGAACGTGGAAATCTTCTTATGAATGAACTTGCTGATATGAAATCTCCTGACGTTGTTTCTAAACAAAATAAATCTGATTTACTTAATTCCCTTTATTTACGTCAAGAATTCCTTCCTTTAAAATATAAAGACCTTCCAACGTATCAATAATTTAAATCCATTTTTTTTTTTTTTAATTAACACTTTTTTTTAAATTAAACCAAAAAAGAAATCTAATAACAACCATTAATCATCGTTTACTAAAAGACTTAAGTCAGTTGTTTCTGATTCAAAGAAAGGGACTGAATTATCACTTGAATGTAGAGATTGGTTTGGAAGATAATACAGTAATAAAGAACCAAATACAGTTGAAAGAAGTAATAAACAATACTTGAGGATTGAAAAAATATTTTTATTAAATGGGAATGAATTGTAGATTCCATAAATCATTAATAAAATTGAAAGACTAAATCCCCACAAAAGAAATAATCTTTTTAAATGGGTTGTTGTAATTTCTAGTGAATAAGAGAATACAAGAATAAGAATTGAAAAAGAATAGAAAAAGAAAATAAGTATATAACAGGATGGTAAAAGAACAATAGTAAGAGTTGCAAATATTCTTAAAAATGATGAAATAACAAATAAGTTATGAGTAATTGATAATTGTATTGAATGAGAAGAATTTTTAAATGTAAATAAACGTTGGAAAAGAAGAGTATTGTAAATTAATTCATTAAATAATTGATGATATAAGAAGTACTTAAATGAATAAGGGAGAATCAAGTTGAAAAAAATTGAAATATAATATACAATATGAAAGATAAAACAACTAACTGAAGAAAATGTTAATAATGGTAAAAGCGTTATTATTAATATTGGAATTGGTAATATTTTATAAAAAATCTTGGGTACAGTAAGAAGTGGGATGGAAATAATGAATAAAAGAATAAATAATTTTACTATATATGAAGAATAAGGTAATCGAGATATTCTTGTAATAAACTGTTCAAGTAACATCAATTTTGTTCTTTTTAAGTTCTTTTTAAATAAATGGAGAAAAAATTTTTCGAGATTATAATCGAAAGGAATAGACAAGTAATAATGAAATATTTAAGAACAAAAATTAATAAAATCTTTACTTTATTATGCAACAACCTCTTTTGAATTATCTGAAAATGATTCAAAATACATCTCTCAAACAAATTCCTATTCGTACTTCAATAAATAACTATTCATCATTCACTGAATTGAAACGAGAATTAGAATTAAAAGAAACTCAATTGAAAGACTTGCAAAAACGGATTAGTGTCTTAGAAAAAATCGATTATATTGACTCATTATTATCTTCATCAATGAAATTAGAATAAAAAGAATGTTAAATTGAATTTTGTTTTTATATAAAATAACAAATTATAATCCAAAAAAAAAGAAATATCTTTTTTATAGTTTGCCTATCATTTGAATCGTTTTGAATAGTCAAATAGGAACTTCCCTTAAAAAAAGGAATTTAAAAATAAGAATAAAGAACAAAAATCAGTTAAAATGTTCTTTCTATGTTTATTACTTTCTATTACCTGGGGGAAAATAGTTCAAAAATCAGAGTTGAAAAAAGATAGTTGTGATAGTAGATCGCCGGTTGTGTTAATTCCTGGATTAATGGCATCCATTATTGAAGCAAAAATAAATGTTGCCGATGATTATCAACCATGGCCAAAATCAGGGAAATGTGAGAAAAATAAAGATTGGTTTAGGGCATGGGTTAATGTAGATATTACGGTTCCATGGAAAAGTGAATGTTATATCAATTATTTAAGTGGAATATGGAATAATCAAACTAACAAGTTAGAAACTATCCCTGGCATTGATTTAAGAACACCAAAATTTGGGTCAACTTATGCATGTGATCAATTAGACCCAGTGTTTTTAATTGGTTCTTTTACTAATTCATTTCACAAAATTATTGAGCACTTGAAAAGTGTAGGATATAAAGATCAAGTTGATATGTTGGAGCTAGTATGATTGGAGAACAATTGATTTACCAAAACATATTTTGAAGGAGTTAAAGGACTTATTTATGAAGGTTTTAAAAATACTGGGAAGAAAGTTGTTATTATTTCTCATTCTATGGGTGGGTTTGTCTCTTACAAATTATTTGATTACCTTGGAAAAGAATTTTGTGATAAGTACATTCAAAAATGGATTGCAATTTCTGCTCCATTTATTGGAACAGGAGTAGTTCCAAAGCAAATGACAGTTGGAGAAAATTTAGGACTTCCAATTAAAGCAGAATATGCACGAGATCTTTCTAGATCAATTGAATCAGTGTTAGCGTTATCTCCAAATGAAGAAAAATGGAATGATGATATTCTTGTTAGAATTAAAAGTAATGGAAAAACTTATACTGCTAAACAACTGAGGGAGTTATACAAACAAATTCCAGAATTAAAAGACAAAACTGATTTTATTTTAGATACTGAAATAACATCATTATATAAGAAATGGAATTGGACTATTCCAAATGGAGTTAAAATGGATTGTGTTTATTCTCATGGTAAAGAAACTCCTTATTCTATAGAATTTAATACTGATGATTTAACAAAAGATTATACTGTTAATTATTCTGATGGTGATAATTTGGTTAATATTAATTCATTAGAATCATGTAAAATATTTACTGATTCTGTAACTAACCTTGGTAAACATGGGCATTTATTAATTTTAAATTCTAATGATATTTGGAATTATATTAAACCTAAAGTATGTGGTAACTATGATTAAATTGACTTAATAATTCATTGAATGAATAAGTTGTTTCCAAATCTCTTTTACATTTTCATTTTGTAGTTTTTCTACTAATTCTTCAAATAAGATATGGTCAAATTTTGTATATTCTGATCCTTTATTTAATTCTTCTTGTATTAACAAATGAAGATCTTGGCAAAGAAGTTGAAAATTTTTACTATCAATTCTTTTTTTAGAATCAACAATAAAAATATGGTCTATTTTAGGGAAATAATTTTTCCCATATTTTTTGGTTGTATTAATGTTTAATTCAAGATGATATTTACAATTACTATATTGCATCTCTTTTAATAAGCAATCAAGTAAAGCTTTAGTGATTTTAGATTTTGATTCTCTTGATATTGTTTGATTATTTTGAAAGAATAAATTTCTTGATTCTTTTAAGCCATTATAAATTAATAAAAATTGACAAGTGTCTTCTGTTTTTTTATGAGGTTTCTTAATATAAAAAGACCACCCTTTTTGAGTTAACAAGACCATAAGAACTAATTCAGTGAATGTCTTAAGATTAGTCTCTTTCTTCTTATGGATTCTGTTACGTTCGTTATTCATTTAGATTTTATATTAAATGACGAAGGGTTTAAATGCAACAATCTGTCAATAAAAACATAAATAAAGAATCTTACTTTTTTAAATGACATTTGTTGATTCATAACCAAATAATATAATTCTAAAAAAAGAAGATTTATTTATTCATTTTTAATAGAAAATTTAAAATCATTATGATGGATATTTTATGATAGTAAAAATAGTAATAACTCATACTATGATTAATATTGAAGAATTATTAAGAGAGTGGATTTTGGAATAAGACCCCTATAGTTAAAAGGGTTTCAAGCTAAGTTACGATAGAATGAGGCATAACTAAGTCATTAATATTTTAACACTTTTAAGTTATTAATCTGTCAAGAACTATTATGTTTGAAATTTTTTTTCACAAACCATTCTCCAAAATAGTAACTATCTTCCAATTAATGATTTAAATTAAACACAAAATTACTAAAAAACAAAAAAATAATAACCAGAATGAAGTTTAATCAGAAATGACTTTTATTAATGGCTCAACTCTTGGAGAATAGTATCTGGTATATTCAAGAATTTTTTTTTGGACGAATTTCTTCCATATTAACTATTTACTACCCTGTAATAAATAAAAGATAAAAGAGTCAAGGATAATACGTAAAATAAAAATATAAACCATAACAACACGTAAAGAGATGATATTTCCTAATACAAAAATTTCTTTTATTATTACCAATACCTTTTAGTGCTACAAGAACTATATTTATCAAAAGTCATTTTAAATTAGAAACCTTCATGAAGTCAAACAACCATAACCAACCTT